CTGCTGGAACTGAGGTCAGAACCCGGGAGGATGTGAGGAGCATGTGATAGCTGTCTGGGCAGACAGTCCACATCTTGAGGCCAGTTTTCCAGAAAGTCCTTTAACCTCTCTGACAAATGAATGTCATCTATTATTAAGAGGTCACTGTGGGTGTCATTGACATATACATGTAGAGCGTCCCATCCAGAGCCTAGAACATAGTAAGTCCTCAATGAATGCAGCCCTAAGGGCCCCTGAGAGTTGTTAGGAGGTGCTGACTTTGCTCTTCCACAAGATCATTAAGCCAAATGCCCACTTCAATCCAAGGCATTTTTCACACTTGTGGCCTAGCCCTTGACCTACACCAGCTCAAGGACCTTCCAGGGCTCCTCTCTACCTTGGGGAGAAATTCCTGACTCCTTATTGGACATTTGGCTTCCACCTGTCAGTAGACAAGGGAAAGCCAGGGACCTGATCCAGTTTGGTCACCACTCTGTCCCCAGCACTTGGCACATAGAGAGGACTCAATAAAAGTTTTCTGGGAAAAAAAAAAAAAGACCTACCTCTAGCCTCCTTTTCTTTGACACTCACCCTTGCACCTGGTATCACAACTGCAGCTGTCGTCAATGTCTGTCCTGCACTTTCCCTCCCCTCTGTCTTTGCTCACTCAGCAGCTTCCATCTGGATGACCTCCTCCCTCCTTCCTGCTTCTGAACCCTCACAAAGCACAGTCCCTTTGTGAGCTGAGACTCAGCAAGTGGACCTGACTTGCACTGGCAGCCTTGCCCCTGCCACGTGGCTGCCGGCTGTGCTATGCTGGCAGACCCCTTGCCAAATTACCATAAAGCAGTATCAGAGGGACTGTGCCTCAGCAGGCCCTTTGTCCCCTTGGGAAATAGTGTCTGAGAACTTCTCCCCAGGTCAAAGTGCAGGCTGATTTCTAGAAGAGATTCCAGCTGTCCCCATTACTTGAGGGCCTCTGACCCTCTTTACCATGCCTGACACGTCCTGCCATCCTCTGCCGTTCTTATCTGTGTGAGTACAGACGGGAGGAGGCTGCCTTCCCCACACAAGGGTGAGGCCCCTGCATTGTTAGCAGGTGCTAAATTAATAATTGAGTCCTTATGTGGATAGCTCCTGACACATTAGTTGGAGAGGCCAATTGCTATAATAAACACACTCCTGTCTCAGTGGCTTGAGCCAGTAAAAGGTCATGTTTTTTCACACACAAAGGCCAGTGCAGATATTCCTGCTTGGGTGGCTCTCTTGAGAAGCCCTCCTTTGAGATCAGGGCTCTATATTCCTTCCATCTTGTGCTATTGATGTCTTCAACGTGAGGCCTCCGAGGTTGTTGTGAAAGAAGAGACCTCTTTCCTCTGGCTCCTCAAGTCTCTCCCCAACCCCCTATTTTGTGTCCTGGCACCCCTCTGTCTAATGACCGCCTTGTAGTCCATCCTGGTACAGGCTTGGGGGTTACAGTCATTATTCTTACCTGCAGCCTTTGCTCAAACTCTTGCCCCCACCCCTCTGGGTCCCCTCTGTATGGCCAGCTCAGTCTCTGTCTTTCAAGTCAAGCTGTCCCATGCAGAAGCACGCAGCATCACTGTGGCACAGTCTAGCCTCTGAGGCTCATCCACTATCACTGCAGAAGCCAGCCTCCAAGCTGGCTCTCGGGGTCCCACCCCCCGGTATTCACACCCTTGTACATAGTATGGTTTGGACTTAGTGACTCACATCTAACAGAGAGAGTAAGGCAGAATTGATGGCGTGGGACCAGAGACCAGGTCATAAAAGGCAGTGTGGCCTCTCTCTTTCTCTTGGCTCATTCACTCTGGGAGAAACCATGTCATCGGCAGCACTGTGGAGAGGCCCACATAGCAAACAACAGAGGCATCCTGCCAACAGCCACACGAGTAGGCTTGGAAGCAGGTCCTGCAGCCCCCCTCAAGCCTTCAGAGACCACAGCCCCAGCCCCAGTCTGGCTGCAATCTCATGAGAAACCCTGAGCCAGAACCACTCCACCAAGCCATTCCCAGACACCTGACCCCTAGAAACCGAGAGTCGATGGGGATTTGTTGTTTAAAGCAGCCAAGTTTTGGAGTGATCTGTCATACAGTGATAGATAACCAATTTAATCACCTCAGAGGCAAGGCCTGTGTCTTCTTCCCCTGATCCCTGCCCCAGGCCTAGTGTGGGTGGGACTGAGAGGAAGCACATGTGTGAGAATTCATTTACTCAACCAATTCCCACTCACTGGGGATGCTGAGGTCCTATGCTGGGCAGTAGAGCTGGGTTGGATGGGGCTGAAGTCACCATAGATTAGAGCCTAAGGGGGTCCCCAGTCCATTGGGAGACAGAGAAGTCTACTCATTTTGGGAGGCTGAGGTGGGCAGATCACGAGGTCAGAAGTTCAAAACCAGCCTGACCAACATGGTAAAACCCCGTCTGTACTAAAAATACAAAAATTAGCCATGCATGGTTGTGCGTGCTTGTCATCCTGGCTACTCAGAGGCTGAGGCAGAAGAATCGCTTGAACCTAGGAAGCAGAGGTTGCAGTGAGCCAAGACTGCAACACTGCACTCCAAGCTGGGTGACAGAGCAAGACTCCATCTCTTTTCTTTTCTTTTCTTTTCTTTTCTTTTCTTTTTTTTTTTTTTTTGCACACAGATGATTCATCATTCAACTTGATACTCCATCTCAAAAAAAAAAAAAAAAAGGTTCCTTTTTAAACTGTCCTCAAATTATCTTCTGGTCTTGCTGGATCCTGATCCTCTGGATTCAGACTGGTCCAAACCCTATCCTAGGAGCAATGGAGAGCCACGGAAGGAGGCTGAGTAGGGAACGACGCGGTCAACTTTGTGTTTTTGACAGCTCGCTGTGGCCATGCATGAGAGATCAATGGGGGAGATCGAGAGGGAGATGGGGCAGAGATGCGAGGCTGAGCTGGGATCTTCAGGATATACAATGTCGTTGCCACGGTCACACAGCAAATTCCAGGGTGTGTGTGCCTGGGATTCGGAGTGGTTGTGCTTCAGGCTATTAGTTCTTAATTTTTGGTAGATTGTTAGCAAAGATGGCAGTAAGAATCCCTGCCTGTGTCCACACCCTTTTGTAATATAACATTGCTGCTCCTCCCATCCAGAGAGGGGTCCTGTTTCTTACTCCTTGAATCTGCTGGATTGTGACTTACTTTGACCAACAGAATGCAACAGAAGTTATACTTGTGAGGTGTGCAGCCTAAGACTTGAGTCCGTGAAGCTTTGGTTCTCACTTTTTGAAGTCAACCACCATTGAGTGCTAACAGACCAGTCAGTATAGAGAGAGACCCAGGGTCCATGTGCAAAGAGAGGCCCAGTCCTTTTAACATCCCTAGCTGTCCCAGCTCCAGCTGACCCTTTGGCTGAATACAGCTGCAAGACCCAAGAGGAGCCACCCAGAGAATCCACAGAATTGTGAGAAGTAATAAATCCTCGTGCTCTTCAACCATTAAGTTGCTGTTGTCTTTTAGACAGGGTTTCATTCTGTTGTCCAGGCTGGAGTATGGTGGCACAATCTTGGGTCACTGCCACCTCTCCCACGTGGGCTCAAACAGTTCTCCCACTTTAGTCCCCTAAATATCTGGGACTACAGGTGCAAGCCACCATGCCCAGCTAATTTTTGTATTATTATTATTTTTTTTTTTGTAGAGAAAAATTATATTTTTTTACCGTGTTGCCCAGGCTGGTTTCAAACTCTTGAGCTTAAGTGATCCGCTCACGTTGGCCTCCCAAAGTGCTGGGATTACAGGTGTGAGCCACCATGCCTGGTCAGCCATTAAGTTTTGAAGTGGTTCATTATACAGCAGTAGGTAACTACTATAAGCGGTTATTTATCTCCTTTGCAAATCTCACCCTTCCTTCAAGGCCCTAACCACGTGTCACCCCCTCAAAGTCCTCCCCTTGGCTGTAAATCGTCCCTCCCTTCTCTGAACTCCATTGCTCCTTCTGCCTGATCCTCTTGTGACTGTTAGTCCACGCTTCCTAGTAGGACAATAAGAGGCACTTTCATGAGGCATTGAGCACCTTTGCCACTTGGCTTCTAATTCACACACGTACTGCACATCATTCCACAAAGGACAGGGAATAGCTTGTTATCTCACGAACTGAAGGTGGATACTACAGTATTTATGTCTCAAATGACAAATCGAGGTTTGGAGATGTGGCTTGCCCAGGATAACTGAAAAGGGGCAGAGCCGGAGCCAGGACTGAAACCTAAGTGTACACTTCTCTAAGTGCCCCCATGTTGTGGTTATGGATGTGATCTGCTGTGTTTCCCCACTAGAGGGTGAGGGAGAGTCACAAACCCTGGTCCAACCCTACTGATGCATGTCCCTAACCCAGGAATCTAGAGCTCTGGTCAGGGAGTCTGTCCCCATCTTACCCCCCAACATTCCCACACCCCTGCAGATATATGCACACGTCTCACATCTGGTTTCCAGTCTCTGTGCTGGCCTGCCTTGTGTCTTAACAAATTGACTCCACTTCTCTCCCAACAGAATGGGGCCAGAAGTGGTAAGCTTAGGGTTGCTACATTAGGAAGAATCAATCAGCATGGTCTTCTCTGGCCCAGTCTCATCCAGCTTCTGGGAAGGTGAGATGGGGCCCCAGGTCCAGGCTGGGAGTCAAGGGTGAGGCTTTGACCAGCCCTCTTGGTTGGTGATAGAAAGAAAGAGAAGCGTGCTAAAATATAATTCTCTCATTTATTTTTATTTATTTATTTATTTATTTATTTATTTTTGAGACGGAGTTTCGCTCTTGTTACCCAGGCTGGAGTGCAATGGCACGATCTCGGCTCACCGCAACTTCCGCCTCCTGGGCTCAGGCAATTCTCCTGCCTCAGCCTCCTGAGTAGCTGGGATTACAGGCACGTGCCACCATGCCCAGCTAATTTTTTGTATTTTTAGTAGAGACGGGGTTTCACCATGTTGACCAGGATGGTCTCGATCTCTTGACCTCATGATCCACCCGCCTCGGCCTCCCAAAGTGCTGGGATTACAGGCTTGAGCCACCGCGCCCGGCAATTCTCTCATTTATTGAACTGACATTTACGGAGCTCCCTTTTTTTGTGCCAAGGCCAGGGGCTGAAGTTACAAAGGGTGAGTAAGAGGTGCCCTATGGAGCCCTCAGCCTATGTAATGTCAGAGCTGAGATTCAGAGTCAGTTGGGGAAACTGAGGCTCAGAGGGAGGGAAAAGAGGCCTGCCCACAGTCATACAGCCAGTTGGTAACAGAGCACAGTCCTCCCTATCCACCTTCTGAGTACCTCTGGCTGCCGCTCCATCACCCAGAGAACTCAGAAACTTGAAGCTACCTAGGGTGAGTACAGGGGCTTACTGGCCACCCCTCCTCTCCAGCGTGGAGAGAGAAGACCTGGTACAAAAGAAGTCTGATTTAGGGCAGAGAGCAGACTTTGAGGGTGGGAGGGAAGGATGAGGTGCAGGATGACGGGGCTTGTAGGAGAAGGGACTGGAGCTGGTGGTTTCTTTTGTGCTGCTACTCAAGGCCAGAGAAATAAAAACCTTGCTGTTCTCTTTTTTCCCTTACATTTCCTTTTATAATATTTGAATGGCATTACAACAGAGAACAGAGACCTCAGAAACCATTCTCTTCCAGCCCTCTCTCCCATTTCACTGATGAGCAGACAGAAGCCAAGGAGCAGGAGGCTTGCAGAGGTCTTGCAGCAGGTGTGCAGATTGCAGTGCCAGAGTCTGATCTCCTCTTCTGAGTTGCCCGCTGTGACTCACAGCCTGGCATGGGTTGGATTGGTAGGAGTCTGGGAAGGCTCTGCAGGTATGTTCAACAAATACCTCCAGGATGTCTCCTCAGAGCACAGCACCTCCTGCTGGCCTCCCTGATGTTGGCCCTGCCCTCTGGCTGGAGGTGCTCAGCAGAACTCCAAGTGTTGGTCAGCAGGGATGTTGAACTTATGCTTGTGGGCTTCGAAGAGGTTGCACAGCTCTTTGATATAGCGCTGGTGCAGCTGGTTCACCTCCTCCTCCGAGGGATGCAGCGTCTTCTGTACCTCGATAGGCTTCCCCACTGCAAGAAATAGAGGTGGGCAGTGGCTTAGGGTAGGGAAGGGGCCCTTGGGGCAGGCGACCAATTCCATGGTTCATCCCTGCAGAAAAGTGCTCTTATTGCCATTCCTTCCAACCCTAATCTTAGGTAATGAATTTTAAGACATTAGGGCAACTCCAAGATTCTGATATAACAATGGCTGGATTTTTTCTTTCTTTCTCTCCCCTCCCTTCCTCCCTTCCTCCCTGTCTTTCTTTCTTTCATCTCACTCTATAGCCCAGGCTGGAGTGCAGTGGCAAGATCTTGGCTCACTGCAAACTCTGCCTCCTGGTTCAAGCAATTCTCCTGCCTCAGCCTCCCGAGTAGCTGGGATTACAGGCACGTGCCACCATGCTGGGCTAATTTTTTGTATGTTTAGTAGAGACGGGGGTTCACCATGTTGGCCAGGCTGGTCTCGAACTCCTGACCTCAGGTGGTCCACCTGCCTTGGCCTTCCAAAGTACTGGGATTACAAGCGTGAATCACTGCGCCCAGCCAATAGGTGGATTTTAATGTGTCGACAATGCACTAGGTGCTTTACATGAAATATCCTCTTTAATCCTATGGGTATACAAACCTGTCATTATTCCTGTCTGACCCGTGAGGCAATGAGGCTCAGAGAGGTTCCCTGACTAGTTTGAGGTCACATAGCCAGGAAGAACCACTGCCAGGTTTTAAACTCTAGGGATGTGCCCTTCACCTTCAGGCTATATGATCTGGGGAGTCCAAGATGCCAAGATTGGACGCAGCTGTATTTCTAAGATGAGGTGAGTTCAGAGCCCAGGCAGCTTTTCTTTCCGCTATACCCCTCCACATTGACCTGCAGTGGCTTCTCTCATCCCAGGGAGGAATCAAGAAGGACCTAACTCATCTCCTTTCTCTGGTTCTGCCTGGCTGGGAAGGCAGCTCCTCTGCCCTCTCCTCTTGGCAACAGCTCTGGAGGCAGCAGAAGTATTAAAATTCATGAAAATATTGCCACACGACACAGGGGAGTTCATGATGCAGGGGTTTACAAAGTCTGTGCTCAACTAGCAAGTAAATGGATGGATGGAGATGAAGTGAATAGACTTCTGTCTATAAAGTCTGTCAGGGGCCGGGCGCGGTGGCTCATATCTGCAATCCTAGCCCTTTGGGAGGCCAAGGTGGGCAGATCACTTGAGGTCAGGAGCTCGGGACCAGTGTGGCCAACATGGTGAAACCCTGTCTCTACTAAAAATACAAAAATTAGCTGGGCATGGTGGTGGGTGCCTGTAATCCCAGTTACTCGGGAGGCTGAGGCGAGAATTGCTTGAACCCAGGAGTTGGAGGTTGCAGTAAGCTGAGATTGTGCCATTGGACTCCAGCCTGGGTGACAAGAGTGAAACTCTGTCTCATAAAAAACAAGAGAAAAATAAAGTCTGTCAGAGGAATGTAGTTAGAATCTAAGAAGAAAGCAAAAGAGATGTCCAAATAGCTGAAAAAAAAAAGGCCTTACGTCTATGGGGTTAAGCTCATGGTCAATTCTTACAGGAAAATCCCTCAGGATGTAATTTCGAGCCTATTGGCTGCTACTCTACATACAAATTTAACATACTTGGAATACCTGTTCACTATAAATAAGCCTCACTAGATCCTCTCGGTTAGAATTAAACCCTCCTGGCCAAACGCGGTGGCTCACACCTGTAATCCCAATACTTTGGGAGGCCGAGGCTGGGGAATCCCTTGAGATCAGGAGTTCAAGACCAGCATGGCCAACATGGTGAAACCTGGTCTCTACTAAAAATACAAAAATTAGCTGGTCGTGGTGGTGGGTGCCTGTAATCCCAGTAATCCCAGCTACTTGGGAGGCTGAGGCAGGAGAGGCAGAGGTCTCAGTGAGCTGCGATCGTGCCACTGCACTCCAGCCTGAGCAACAGAGCAAGACTCTGTCTCAAAAAAAAAAAAAAAAAAAAAAAAAAGAGAATTAAACCCTCCATCTCTGGCACTGCAAAAAGTCAGACAGATCCTAATTCAAACCTCAACTTTGTTATTCAAAGACAGTGTGATATTTTGGAAGTTATTTAACTTCTCTGAGCCCATTTACCATCAACGAATGGGAATAATAATTTCTGCCTTGAAGGTATGGCCGGGCATGGTGGTTCACACCTGTAATTGGGAGGCTGAGGCAGGTGGATCACTTGAGGTCAGGAGTTCAAAACCAGCCTGGCCAACATGGTGAAATCTCCTCTCCATTAAAAATACAAAAATTAGCTGGGTATGGTGGCACGCACCTGTAGTCCCAGCTACTCAGGAGGCTGAGGCAGGAGAATCACTTGTTTGGATAAACTGAGCTGCTTCATTTAGGACAGCCGGTGTAGTGCCTGGCACACACCAGGTGCTCAGCAATTGGTTGCAACTATTGCTCTTGGCACTTCTGTTATAGTTCCTATCCCAGACTGTCTGCTATTCTATCTGCTTGTGTGTGTATGTTTGTGAGCCCCATGAGGGCAGGAATAAATCTGGCCCATCTCCTTGACCCCTTGCAGCACATAACCTGCCCTGTCTCTATAGCCTCCTCCCTCCCAGCTTGGTCCTTGACTTACCCACAGTGGTGATGGGCCGGCGGTAGGGTATTAAACCAAAACTGTACTGGAAGACACCACGGCCATGAAACAGTGGGAGGGAGATGCCCATGATCTTCTGCAACCGATTCTGGATACAGCGCAACCAAGAGCCAGAAGAATTTGAAACCTGGTCAAATAGGTCATTCTCCCCGAAGGAGAAGATTGGCACCAGCGGTGCCCTGGAGAGAAACAGAGGAAAGAGGGCATGTGGGAGGCCCCAGAGAAGGCACACAAGCTGAAAGACCTGTTAGCTTCCTGCAGGGGCTCAGTGACCAAGAAATGGAGTAGAGGACAGTGCCCTGGACTGGAAGTGGAGGCCTGGGTTATCTCCCAGACCTTCACAGCCCCATTATCTGACCTTGGGCAGGTCCCTTGCAGGGCCACAACTTTCCAGTTGCACCACAAGAGGTAGACCAGAATGCTTCAGAGAGCCCTCCCGGATATAAAAACCGGCATTGTTTTTCCTAGAAAAATATCTCCCATCTCGGCTGGCTCATGTTTCTCAATGATGTTTCACTCCAAGTGGGGGAGAACAGCTCTGAACGTACTCCAAATATCCCTCTTTTAGATACCACAGGTCTCAGATCAAGTACCAGCTTTGGGGAATATGTTCATTGCCACCTAGTTCCTTAGATCATTGAGTCTCCCTTGTGGAAACTTTCCTAGGTATTTGGACATGAGACATCAAAATATAATCTTCATTCTGAGTGGACTGAGAATCTCCCTGCCAAAATAGAATCCGCATTCGTCTCTGCCATCTTCCCATCCCAATGGCCAGGTGAACCCAGAGTGCTCTTCCCAGAGGCTTGATACCCGTGTGTCAGAGCGAGCCTGATGAAGCCCTTCCGGTTCCGCAGTAACAGCGTGAAGGATCCAGGCCTGGCATCTAGGGCCTCCTGGGCACCCCCTACAATGATGCCCAGCAAGTTTCCACCACCCTTCCTGCTCAGAATGTGAGCAGCACTCTCCTTTTCTGATGTGACCAACCCTGGGGAAAGAGAAAGGTGGGAAGGCATGAGGGGAGGGAGCAGGGGCTGTGAAATACGTGTAGCCCATGAAAGAGATCACCTGCGGAGGCCTGGGATTCCCCCACTGTACCCCATTCCAGCCAGGAGCTCCCTGAGTCCTCTCCCTTTTTGCAAACCCCTGTTGGACTCAGTGCCCAGCACGGTGCCGTAGAAGTGCTTCTTTGGGCCCAGCCTCCTTCTCCTACTGCACATACCCTTGGAGGAAGTAGAGAACTGTTGCAACCCGCCACCCCCACCCCCACCCAGAAGTCTGTCACCTTCCCGAGCTGCTCAGGGGTGGAAAGACTCACCTGCGGACATGATGTAATCTCTGAAGAAGGGGACCCGGAACCACAAGGTCAGCATCATCAGATGGGGGTTGATCCCGGGGAAGATGGAAGAGAAGCCGGTGCTCTCAGTGCACAGGTTGGCAAAGGCTCCTGCTGCCAGGACTCCATGGGGGTGGAAGCCCGCAATGTAGTTCCTCGAGGGGTCCAGCTCAGCAGTCTTGACCAGCTGCAGGGACGGCAACCTGCTGAACCAGGGCGGGACCTGTGTGCCAACCCTGACTCTGCCACTCACTGGTGTGACCTTGGGAAACCCTCCTCTGAGCCTCCAGGTCTTCATCCATATGTCTGACCACCTGGGTTCTTATGAAGATTCAGATATGGTGTGTGACAGCACCTGGTGATACCATGGTGCTGGCCGTGCCACAGACTTGATGTTGGCTTGGGTTAAATTGCTTCCTTCTCCTACAGGCTCCTCATCTGTGAATTGGCAGTACAGTATTTGGCCCTGTCCCTGCTGCCTCCGAGGGCTACTGAAAAGCTCAGGTATCACGGTGCCTGGAATTATTTATATCAACACCACCTGGACATGATGTAATGCGAAGCCATCAAAAGGCCACACGGGGGCACCACCATGCTGGAACAGCCTCATTTTAAGAAAACAATGTTCCAGCCAGGAACGGTGGCTCACGCCTATAATCCTAGCACTTTGGGAGGCCGATGCTGGTAGATCACCTGAGGTCAGGAGTTTGAGACCAGCCTGGCCAACATGTTTGAGACCAGCTTGGCCAACATGGTGAAACCCCATCTCTACTAAAAAATTTAAAAAATTAGCCAGGTGTGGTGGTGGGCACCTGTCATCCCAACTACTAGGGAAGCTGAGGCAGGAGAAGTGAGGCAGGAGAAGGCGGAGGTTGCAGTAAGCCGAGGTTGCACCACTGCACTCCAGCCTGGGAGATAGAGCCTGGGAGACAGAGCAATATTCTGTCTCAAAAAAACCCAAAAAACCAAACCAAACCAAACCAAACAAACAAACAAAAAATCTCCAAAAAACAGAAAACAATGCTCCTTCATATCCGTGGGTTCCCCATCTACGGATTCAAACAACCTTAGATGGAAAGTATTTAGAAAAAAATGGATTGTTGCACCTGTAGTGAATATGGACACACTTTTCCCCCTTATCAGTATACCCTAAACACAGTATGACCACTATTTCCATAGCATTGTATTAGGTATCATAGATATTCTAGAGATGGGTTATTGTGTGTGGGAGGATGTGCCTAAGTTATAGGCAAATATTACATCATTTTATATGAGGGACTTGAGCATCTGTGGATTCTGGTATCTGCGGGCGGGTTCCTGGAACCAATCCCCCTTGGATGTCTCGGAGTGAAATACTGGTGCTGCAGATGTAGGAGTGAGCCTTCGTTGGCTGAGGGCCGAGTCCTGCTGGGTAGAAAGCACATACACACCAGGGGCAGCTCTGGCCCTGATTACCCTTAGGCATGCTGTGGGCCCCTGTGGCTCTCTGCTCCCCCTCGCCAGGCCTTCATTGCCCCTTGGCCACTCTCTTTCCCTGGCCATCACAGCAACTTGCCTGGGCCTGGCCCGGCCTGCAGCATGAGGATATAGCAGAGTCCAACAGACGTTGTAGTCTGAGTGAGACAGAGCCACCGTCATTAGCAGCTTCTAGGTGAAGTGGGGTGAAGGTGAAGCAGGAGGGAACTTAGTTAACAAATGCTGCTCCTGGCCAGTTACTGGACGGGCTGTGCCAAGCAGCTGAATCTGCAAAGATGATTGCTGTGGGTGGTGATTGCAAGGAACTGTGGGGGCCACCCTTTTCAGTGCCTTGTGGCTGGGAGACCTGGCCATCAGAGTCCAAGGGTCCCCAGGGTTTCTGGCCCAATCCCACATGCCCCAACGGGAGGCTCCCTGATAGGACTACCCCGCCCTGTGCACTCCCTCAGATCAAGGGCAAGCCTTTCCCCTCTGGCACAGCTTTGCCAGTGTAAAGTTCTTCCTGTCATCAAGCTGTGACTTTCAGCCACTGACTGCCTGAGGGTTCTTGTTGCTGCCTTTGGGGAGCAGCAGAGGCCTGGCTGCCCTCTCTCAGAGCAGACTGGAGACATCCATAGGGCCTGGAGCCTGTCTGCCCCATCCAGCTGAACAGCGCCACATTCTCCTGTCCTTGACCAGGACATGACCTCTGCTATTTATTTATTTATTTATTTATGAGACAGAGTCTCACTCTGTTGCCCAGGCTGGAGTGCAGTGACATCATCTCAGCTTACTGCAACCTCTGCCTCCCAGGTTTAAACAATTCTTGTGCCTCAGCCTCCCGAGTAGCTGAGATTACAGGTTCATGCCACCACACTTGGCTAATTTTTGTATTTTTCAGTAGAGACAGGGTTTCACCATGTTGCCCAGGCTGGTCTCAAACTCCTGGCCTCAAGTAATCTGCCCATCTCAGCCTCCCAAAGTGCTGGGAATACAGACGTGAGCCACAGTGCCTGACGAGGTGATGTTTCTTTAAAAACATAGCTGGCTCAACGCATGGAAACACCTGCTTATATATATTCATTCTCCTTTAGTGGGAGGGTGATTTTGCACCTCCATAAATGCAATTTGACATTATCTACCAAAACCAAAAAATATAACTGATTTTTAAACCCAGCAACTCCACTGCTAAGGAATTTAGCCTACAGAATTTCTACTTGTGCAAAATGACATCTGAACAAGGCCACGGAAGCACCAGGTGTTGGTGATATCAAAAACTTGTCATTCACTCAAATGACCATCAGCAGGGCCTATTTAGACAAACTGTGAACCATCCACACAATGGACCATTGTTTAGCCGTAGAGAAGTAGAGTGGCTTTTTCTGCCCTGACGGGAAAGAAGGCTCCAGCAGCTTGGTAGGTGAAAAGGCAAGGGGCAGGACGATGCGTGCAGTGTTGCAACTGTGCAGAGAAGGGAGAAATACATCTGCTTTATATGGATACACCAAACACTGGTAGTCATTGTTGCCTCTGAGGACAGGGACTCGGGAGATGGGACATGAGGTGGAATGAAGACTTTTCATACCTACCCTTTTGTTGGTTTTTAAATTTTTTTTTTTTTTGAGACAGTCTCACTCTGTCACCCAGGCTGGAGTGCAATGGCATGATCATGGCTCACTGTAACCGCTGCCTCCTGCATTCAAGAGATTCTCCTGCCTCGGTCTTCCGAGGAGATGGGACTACAGGTGCACACTGCCACGCCCGGCTAATTTTTTTATTTTTAGTATACATGGGGTTTTACTCTGTTGGCCAGGCTGGTCTCGAATTCCAGACCTCAGGTGATCCACCTGCCTTAACCTCCCAAAATGGTGGGATTACAGGCATGAGCTACCACACCCGGTCAGCATTTTTGAGTTTTGAACAAAAGGCATTACGTACTCTAAATAAACAAGTAAACAAATGTATGCGTGAATAAATGATTATGGAATCATGAGTTTACTTTCTGTCTCTATGGATTTGCCTGTTCCAGACGTCTCACGTACGTGGAGTCATACGCTGTGTGGCCTTTGCATCTGATTTCCTTCACTTAGCACGTTTGGAGGTTTATCCATGTTGTGGTGGGTGTCGGTACTTCGTGGCTTGCTCTGACTGCATACTATTCCATTTTATGGATATTCTACATTCATCGGTCAAGACATTTGTGTGGTTTCAACCTTGGGCCATTGCAAATAACGGGGCCAGGGGCACTTGCGTACAAGCCTTGGTGTGTGAAAATGTTTTCAATTCCTCGGCAGGGGGTACAGGGGTGCTACTTTTAAGCCCAAGATGCTCTTCAGTCCCTGTCTAAAAGATCACAGTACCACATAGGGGCCCTCTGGGAGAGGGCATCTGGACCTTGAGTGGGAAGGAGGACTGGGGGCTGTTATGTCTCTACCATGTCTGTCCAGTCCCATCTCTCCACAAATGACCTTGTGCCCTCTCACAGTCGTGGGCCAACCGAAGGTCCTCGAGAACCCAATGTCCTAATGGTTTCTTTATGGTTCACAAAGCAGCCATGCTCTTAGCTTGTTTAACGCTCACCCTGGCCCTAGGTAGGCTGGCTGGAGTAAATTAGGCCCCATTCGATTGTTCAGCAAACCGAGACGCAGAGACCTGCCCTAAGCCACACAGTTGGCTCTGAGTTCTGCCACCTCCTGCAGAGAGCATCAGAGAGAGAGAGAGAAAGTGAGTGAGCCAAGTGAGCCCAGAAGCCTCCGTTCCAGACCCAGGGAAATATCCTGGCACTCAGGACTGTCTTTGGGACCTTTCACTTGCTAGTCAGACTTGGAGGTCCAGGGTTCTCTTGATTCCTTTCTCCCGGGAGAAAGTGGCTCCTGCGTCAACAACCTGCCCTGCACTGCTCCAGGGCCTGGCGTGGGGCAAGCCTGGTCATGGCCTATTTATGTGCCTAGATTAGTTGGTGGGTTAAAAGTGCTGGGCTTACAGAGAGAGATCCAAGATGGCTGATCACTAGCAGCTCGGGATTGTAGCTCCCAGTGAAAGCGCAAAGAAGGAGAGGACGCCACACCTTCACATGAATTCTTGTTGCGCACGCACCAGGAGATTCCCAGCGGAGGAGCCCCACCGGTCGCCAGCGCGACTCTTGTGACCGGCGAGGCGGTTTTGCCGGCGCCTAGGAGCGTTGGTTCTTGGTGCAGAGTCAGAAAAGCACCATCAATCTTAACGCTGCTGATTTAGTCGGCGCAGTGGGTTGCTCAGATTTCGGCGCTGAGAATCAATAAGTTGGACGTCCACTCAGAAACCCAATTACAAAGACGGTAATTATAAAGACCACATGGATAAATCTACAACGAAGGGAAGAAAACAGCCAAAAAAGGCTGAGAATACCCAAGATCAGAACGCCTCTTCCTCAGCAGGGGATCCCAGTTCCTCATCAGCAATGAAACAAGGCTTGATGGAGAACGAGTGTGTTCCAATTACAGAAGCAGGCTTCAAAATGTGGATAATAAGAAACTTCTGTGAATTAAAAGAACTTGTTCTAACACAATCCAGAGAAACTAAGAACTTTGAAAAACGGTTTGACAAAATGTTAACAAGAATACACAATTTAGAGAGGAATATAAGTGAATTGATGGAGTTGAAAAACACAATACAAGAACTACGTGAAGTATGCACAAGTTTTAACAGCCGAATTGATCAAGCAGAAGAAAGGATATCAGAGGTCGAAGACCA